TCATAGTGCATTGGTAGTGATGAACCCATCCATAGGCACTAATGTGTGCATTGAAAAGTGACCTAAGAAAGTGTAGGAAAATTGTGTATCCTACCCTATGAGTAGAAAGCTGGTGGGAACAATTACTCTAAGGATAGAGAGAATGAAAGATATTAGAATAGAGGAATTAGAAGAGTAGTATTGGGTGTATGCTTTGTGATCATCACCCGACAGTTATGGGAATCGGGTTGATGCTTTGTGATCATCGCCGAATAGCCCTTAGAGATGGGTCGATGCTTTGTGATCGTCACCCGATGAGTAGTAGATGGGTAGATGCTTTGACCACTACCCGTTAGTTGTTAGATAAGTGGATTGATGCTTTGTGATCATCATCCAACATTTAGTAGAAGTGGGTTGATGCTTTGTGACCATCACCCGATAGTGACTAGAGACGGGTTAATGCTTGTGATCGTTACCCAAATTCATGAGAAACGGGTAGGTGCTAGGTGATCTCCACCCATAGTTAGAAAAAACCGAGTTGATGCTTTGTGATCCTCACTCAGTAGTCACTAAGAACGGGTTGGTACTGTGTGACTTCCACCCGATAGCCATGGAGATGGATATGGTGCGGTGTGAACGCCATCCCCGTACCTCCAGTAAGATGAGGCCATGATGTTATTAGAAACAGAATAGTACAAGGAAAGAATTAAGAGTTATACATACGGGGACAACAGATAGAGGTTTTACTTACTGAGCATTATTTTGTGCTCACCCCGTTATTTTCCTTGTGTGTTGCAGGATCTAGGTGATGATGCAGTCGGAGGGCGTCGGCAGCGAAGAGAAATGCTACACTGTTTCCCCTGTTTTGTCTTTTAAAACGAATTTTTTTTAAACAGTACCTTTGTATATAAAAGACATCTGATTTATAATGAAAGAAAGTTTTGGGCCCAATCTTCTATTGTTATTATGCATGCATTGTATGAGTTTCAGCAGTTGTTACAAATTTTTTGAACTCAATGGAAAAGATGGATTGGGAGTGCCATTAGTAAGCATCTTGAGGAAGAGAATGAGGAGTTAGCTTTTAGTACTGATTTGCAGGAAACGGTTTGCAGCATGGAATGATTCTCCAAAGTTACAACAGCAGTCAGGTAACTTTCCTTGTATTGCATTACCAATTTCTAACGGAGGCCTTTACCTTCTGTTTTGCAGGCCCCCGTTCCAGATTTGAGCCTCTCCCTAGTTACCTCAAGAACGTGTTCCTATGAGATGGTAGAATGTTACTTAGTGCTGCATCGCAAGAACAAAACCTTGAGTCGAGCCAACGACAATAAACAAAGGCGCTGCTTGGGAGGCAACCCAAGGAGTTTGTTTTTCTTTTCTTGTATTTTAATTTTGGTTATTTTTGCTCTTTTCTTTGCATTTCATCTTCCATTGGGGACAATGTCAGTTTTAGTATGGGGGAGGGGATTTAGGTTTTGTTTAGGTTCTATTTTTAGTGTTAAAAAAAAAAAATCTGCCTAGTTTAAGGGTATATCGGCTGGAAATCAGAACCCACCTTAAAACTGCCTAGCAGTACTTAGCAACCTTGGGTATAACAACCCACGTACACCTTAAACGAAATACCCCCGCATTTGTTTTTAGAGGGTTTATGCTTTAAGTCATGTCTTTGAACTTCTAGTGATGCATGAAATAGTAACTTGACTTTGTTGTTGAGCTATTCCTTGACCTAGGATGTTAGCAATCTTCATAAAATGAGTTAATCATATTTGAATCTTTGCAGTTTAAATAATATTTCTTGAAATTTGTGTGACTGGTGACGAGCATGTTGGAGTGTATAACCCTTAAAAGAAAAAAAAAAATTGTTTCTCTTAAGCTACCTAAATTTGGGTTTAAGCAAAGGGAAAAGAAAAAAAGGTTGTGTGAGTCGAATGGAGCGTAAAACGTACTCACTCATAAACACAACCATGAAATGAGATGGAGCATAAATGCACTCATTCTTTTTCAAACAGAAAAAAAAAAAAGGAAGAAAAAAAATTGTATCCTTAGTTTGCTACCCAGTTTGTAGTAGTAAAGAGAAACAGTAAAAAAAAAGTTGAGAGGGAGTTGTACATGATTTGGTTGTGATTAGTTCCCTTGTTTCATTGACTGTAGAGTAATTGTGAAGATGATAAAGAGATGAATGTCATTAACTCTGTTTTTTTATTTTGCTGCTTCCTAAGTTAGGTATGAATATGCATGGATTAAATATTGTTGCTTATGCATCATGCTGATGTTCTTGAGATGACTTGAGATGATGGTGTTCCTGATATGACTTGAGTGTAGGTTTTTTTGAATTAGTTTGCCCGAGGACGTGCAAAAGCTAAGTGTGGGGTTTGATGGGAAGCAAAATGTCATATTTAACCCCTTAATGTTTAGTCTTTTATATGTATTTGTTTCCTATGGTACTCATTATTACTTTATTTTGGTTTAGGAAGCAAATGGAGGTGTTATTGAAAAACGGAATTAATTAGGGAATTCGTACAGTTTCGCCACTGCTTCGTATTCTGACATAATTCTCTCATCCGAGCTCCGATTGAGATGATTCAAAATGCTGTGGAACGCTAAGAAAGATATCTACAACTTTCATGTTTTGAGTTTTTAGAGATACTGGCTGAATAAAGGTTGTAATCAAGCTTGAAGTTGACACACCTGCATTGCCGACGTCCTGAGCGTTCTGACTTCTTATGCAAGTCAGTCTATTGTTGCACGTTTTGAAGACATACATGCTGCACGAAAATTATAGCTGAAACCCCACTTTCCTATTTTATTAGGACTTTATTTTATTTTATTTCCAATTAGAATTAAATTAGGATATGTTATTTTAGGGTAGGAAAATATTTCTTTTAGGAGATTGAGTGGGATTCGAATTCTAAAATTGGATTTTAAAAGGGGATCAGATTAGGTTTGAGGGCACCACGCCTCTCTCTCTTTCCTCTCTGGAATTTCCTTTCTCTTGAGTTTTTTGTGATGGCCATGAGCGTAGAACTTTAGTGTAACTTGGTCGAAGGAAACGGAAACCTCGGAATCAAATAAACTGTGAGATCTTTCTGTTTTTAGTGTTAAATTCATGTTTGAGTATTGAATGTTATTCTGTGCATATTTTCATGATTGATGTATTTAATTACTAGGAGACCTACTATGTATTATTTGTTGAATCTACAGCTAAGTTTGATATCAAATCCGTAATTGTTTGATCCTTCCAACTTGTGAAGCAATTAGGGTTAGTAATTTGCTGCGTCAAGAATTAGTAACCTTACAGAACATTCAACTAATAAATACAACCGCTTGTGTTTGTGTTGTTTAGCTTCATCGATCTCTCTAATTCTTAAGGCTGCCACCGAATTAAATCTTGAGCGCTTGTCTAGGTTTGTTTAGGGTAAGATTAATTAGGATCGCTTGTTTCCTGATTAATTACAATTAAGGAAGATAGGAAATTAGTTCCAACGGTGAATATTCAATGTGTGATTATTATCTTTGCATCAATATGTCATTTAATTCCGATGGTGGATTTGACAGAGACCAAGTTCGTCATTTTGATTGAATTCGAATTAAATTGTTTTTGTTTTTGGTGGATTGTTTTCTGTTTTTACACAAACCTCCCAGCCTTTTTAACATCAAAGAAAATTCGACTAGACACTCTTTGTGGGATCGACCCTTGCTTACCCTATTTACGTTCAGTAGTTAGGTTCGGAAGGTTTTAATTCGGATGCCTACGACAGCACGCCAGCTTTCTGGCTTTTAAGCCTTAAATCTTCTCTTAAAAACAAAAAAAAAAAAAAAAAAGCAGAACTGTTAATGAACCATGTTTGCAGAAAACAGAAATGAATACAGCCTAAACTTCACAACCCAAGCCCAACGAAAGTGGTTGCAGAAGTTTGTAACAACCCAACCCAAATCCGTTTTGGTTGGTCCAATGGATTTGGGTAATGTTTGTTTACCGAGGATGATTAAAATATTAAATAACTTACCACAAAGGTGTGTTATAACTAATTAAATTAGCTGATTTTAAGAAGTGTAAATAGTAATATCTGTTTTGTGTTGATTGGATGAGGAATATGAATAAGATTTTGTTGATGTTGATGGTGTTGTTGCATTAGTATTCCTATTCCATGCCTTTTTGAAACTTTGAAGATCCAATGGTCATGCCTATTTTATGTAGTTGTTGGCATTTTTCACAGTTTTAAGCTGGAGATTATTACGTGTCCTAAAGAATTCAATCCTTTCCTTATCAATTTTTTTCTTTTCTTTTTTTAAACTCGTGCCAACAACCCCTATACAAAAGGTGTCAAATCAAGAGTTCCTTCATTAATCAGAATGTTCAAATTAATGCAAATATAAGACCAAACAAAATCAAATTTACCTAATTCTAATTAGGGCAATATCTATACTATACACTTTTTGAGCATTATTTCCTTTTTTTACTATCCTATTGATACGTCGTATTAAATTAATTTGAAATAAATTGGCATCATTACTTGACCAACTCATTGGAGAATAATTTATGTCCGTATAAATGAAGTAACATATAAATCCTAGGATAAATGAATTCAAATTTTATATTATATTTCAAACAACTTTCATTCTTGCATAAAATCAAGATTTTCCTTTTATTAACACTAATTTTTAAAGATTAGTTGAATTACATATAAGCTAGCTTGAACACTCTAATGACCACAAATAAAAACTAAAAAAAATACTAATAACCTTGTAATACATTTTCACACCATAACTTTGTATTAAAATATTATTACAGAAATAAAAATGTGAAGTGAGAGTGCGTGACACCGATGTCCTGTAGTTTGACTTTTGACCCAAAGAAAATTCATAAGTGTGGTGGTTTGGTGGCGTGTCACGTGTGATTAATACAAGTGTGAGTATGTTTGTGTTGCGTTAAGCTAAAGTGTATGACTTTGTATGCGAAAACTCTGACGATGATTGGATTTTGGAAACACAAGCACCAATAACTTTACTAAATTCCTCCTCTTAGCGGCGGCCACATGTCATAAAACGCACGTGCCCTTTGACTCTAATGGGTAATGACTCGACGAAGCTTCTAAAACCCCCCTTCTCTTTATCAGCCCTAATCTATCAGCATTCAGCAATCCCTTTGAATCAAGTCAATTTCGATCCCATTCCACTCTCAGCTAAACTAATTCAGGTTCGTTTTCTTTTCTTTCTTTAATTTGTGAAGTTACAGGCTTTACTAGATTCAATGTCGGATTACTTTGTTCGGTTTTGTTTACCCGTTAATTCTCGAAAGGGTTTTATTTAGAACTCATTTATGCTTCAAAGTTTGGGGATCTTTACTTTTATAGAATTTTTGTTTGTTCTGTTTTGTTTTTTTGTGTAATTGAAGTTGGGTATTGACTGTGATTTTGTCGATTATTGATAATTGGTTTGTTAACGTGTGATACGAAGTAAGAATGAAGTATTCAGATCAATTTTTATCTGGGTTTTATTTTTTTATAGAATTCAATAACTGATTTCACAATAGTAACCACTGTTGACTGGCGGTCACTTGTCAATGGATACGTATTACATTGGCGTTTTTGGTTGAATTGAGAAGTGAAATATTTTTTTGCCATATTGACGGAGTTCAGAAGTTAAATGCATTATATGATTGGGGATTTTCTGTAATTATATGATATTTTTTTATTTTGATGACAGTGAGGAAACTGGAAACTGAAATGCCAGCTGTTCGGCATTTTGCTCGAGTTAACACTTTAGAGATTAAATCTCATATTGAAAGGAAGCTCGGACGTACAAAATCAACGACATATTTTGATTTCCTCACAAGATTTTTAAATGGTAAGATGGACAAATCTGAGTTCGATAGACTCTGCATTGGTACAATAGGGATACAAAATATGCGTCTTCATAAACTTCTTATCGTATCAATGCTCAAAAATGCATGTGTTGCAAAGACTGCCCCATCGAAAGTGACAAAAACTGATGGCTCTTTCAGTGACAAATTGGCTAATGGGTATCAAAGAAAATGTCTCCAGAAAGTTGGGAAAGATTCTCCTCAATCCCCTCTAAAGGGAAAGACACCAAATCTTCATGATCCCAAGTTTAAGGATGGAAATTGCCATAGTATTGTATGTGAAGATTCAGTCCCAAATATTCAAGAACAGCAGAGTGCCACTGAGTTGCTTTCTTTGGGTAGCAGACCCCCAGCCTCTGTGGAAGAAGGGGAAGAGGTTGAACAGGATGCTGCCAGTCCAAGCATTTATAGTAGGAGCCCTGTTAGAGCTCCTCTTGGCATCCCCAGAAACAACAATAAGACACAGAAAGTACCACAAAGTAGATTGGGTTGTGATTATTACACTGAGATTTGTGAAAAAGGCTGTCAGCTACCTGATACTAGTTCTTTAAAGAAGAGGTTGGAACAAAAGTTGGAGAAGGAGGGATTAAATGTCTCAGTAGATTGTGTCAATTTGTTGAACAATGGCCTTGATGTTTACTTGAAAAGATTAATAAAGCCTTGTTTGGAACAAGCTGGTTCACGGTCCAGCCACAAACATATAGACCAAGGGCATGGATCTTCTATACTCCGATTAAATGAAACATTGCCAGTGAGATGTACACAGAATTTGAGTGCATCCACTTCTGCATCCTTGTCAGACTTTCAAATTGCAATGGGGTTAAATCCCCAAATTCTTGGGGTAAATTGGCCAACACACCTTGAGGAGGTTTACTTGTATGCAACAAGAAGATTGAAGATTCACAAATATACAAGTTGATTTTGAGTTATTGCAGTTATGAAGTATATGCTAACATTGATCTTGACTGCTGAAGTACACGAGTATAAAGGCTTCCTAAGTTTTGGATCCACTTGAGTAGATTGTATATAGGACATAATGCTGATTGTTTCTGGGGTTGGACTGGATGACTTATTTAAGTTTTAAATATTTGACTCCTGTAGTAATGTAATTACCAAAAGTAGGTCAGTGGCTATTTTGATATCCATAGTGTATTTGTTCACTGATAAACATTTCCTTTATAAATCTCTTTCTTAAAGTTTTGAGGCTTACAGTCGTTGAGTTCCTTGCTCTGATAAACTTTTCTTTTTAACATACTGTTGATTAACCTTACATAAATGCTGTGTGTGTATCTCGAGGATGGCAGTGTTCGGCTTTCTTATCGCAATGGATTTCAGAGTGTAGATGACCATAAATTTAATATTTTGTCCCATGTATTTGAAGGCAGCGTCCATATTCTAAAGTGGGTTATTATCATTATAAGCACTGAATTGTCCTTTTCTTCAAGTTTGCCTAAAACTTTGACTGCTTGGCGGACTTTGTATTTATATACTTGAGGCATAAGTCTTTAAAACTTAGGTGCATGTGTTGTTTACTTGGTGTATTGTTACAAAAATGTAGTTCACTTTGTATTTTACTATTTAACTTGCACTTCATTTTCTGTCACAATTTATTATAGTATTACTTACTACCACCTGACACTAGTGTCACACAACTGCTGTTATACTCAAGACCTCATTAATCTACTTTAGTTTCTTATCTCTTGCTTTCTCTGCGTTGTTAATACTTTAAATCAAATGTAAATGTATAATATTCTATTTTCTTTTTCACTGCATGGGTGTTTTTGAAGATGCAGGTTACCTGGAAACTAAGTGCAAGGTGCTGCAAGAAGTTATCTGCCTGAGGAAGGTACCAGTAAGCTAGATATGCATATAACATATCCAATGTTCGTGTAAAATATATAAATCAAATAATGTTGGGTATTTCCAAATTTTTAATTCTTAGTTATTACAAATATTTAAGACTAAAAAAAAAAAGAAGATTTGAATGCTACCAAACAATGTGAACTAAAATGGAACAAGAAAGGAGGGAGAAAGGAAAAAGGAGAGTGAGAAACAAAGTGGATATACAAATTAACGGTTAAAGGATTGATATAGATTATAAAATAATATACTCTACTAAGTTTGCCTTGAGGCTAGTCGTGAGTTCCCAGAAAGTGTTAGCCTGTTCAATGTCCCTTGACTTGATAGTAAAAGAGGCTGCAGCCCTCAGTTCTGATTGAGCCGAGTGCCTAGGAACACCTCAGGCCTGCATTTGATAATTGTAACATGTGAGGGTGCATTATTCTTGGATAATGGTCAGAATTTGAAATCATTAATGAATGGCTGGTACCTTGGGATGCCAAGTGACATGGTTTCCCGGAATCTATTTCTTTATGGTTTGTGCCCATGGATGGTGAAATTCAGTTTCCCATCAAACTTCTTGTGTTAGGCAGCTCATGCATTCCTTAATCTAGAATTAAGTTGGAATTTGTTGCCTTGACCTAATTCACTTGTAGTTTGGAATTTGCCTTGATGACTTCAATCTTCTAGATTGATAACATAATTGGTTGTCTATGTAAATGGTTAAATTTCTTAATCAGCTACATATATGATGTGACCATGATTCAATGCAGAAAGCAAAATAGACCAATTCCAAATATTAAGAAGATTGAGGTGGACTTAGCTTCAATGAGAAAAAGGCACTTTTTTGTGAATAGAGTATACAGATAAATATGCTTCGCTGTGATGCTTGTATGGCCTAATATCGACACTAGGTCTAGCTTGAGAATCATCAAATTGAATATTTTCAGGGATCTCTAATAGTGGTTGCTTTTAGGGTTCCTGGAGGCTGTCTGACTGAATGTATTTCATATGCCTCCTCTTTACTTATGTGGTGCCAGCAGTGCTGGGTCATTTTCTTTTTCTTCACACAGCAACTTTTCTGAACAAATTTCATTGTCTTAAAGACAAGCCATATGCTCAATTTAGCTTTTGTCGTTCTTTATTCTTAGGACAACTTAGTTGTAAGTCTTGTAGGGAGGCTGTGAAGCATTAATTATGATATATTCATAATCTGCATTTATAAACTCAGTTGAAATTGCTCAGTTTTAATATATTATTAATCTAGTTTATGATTAGGTATCCTGAAACTGCAAATTAAGTAGTTTTTGTGATTTCAAGGCTACTGTGAATGCTCTGTTTTGATGCAGCAAAATCGTCTTTTATGTCTTCATACTGCGAACAGGGATGTTCCATTTTAGAACAACAGGCTTTAGTCCTGTTTTTATATTTAATGAATAACTGGAAGAGACAGAGGTAAAGATTTGTGGTTAGTCTTCTTAGATTCTACCGCTCCTGTTGAATAATGGCTGATGGTCTTTTGCTAGATTGACTACAGTATGTCACGATCACTTCCTCTATCTCCTTATTAACTTCCGCTTTCATCTCTATTGAGAATTTAATAAATAAAAAATGAATGTCCTTGATGTAAAATTGTTGGCGGACTGTACATTTGAATTAATAGAGAGCATTTGATTGATAGAGTACGTTGCAAACCAGTTGTAATCCTGAATAAAGGAACATTATGTATTGCACCATTTATATACCCCTTCTACTGCATCTGATACCATAGTATGCATTACAAGATCTACAAATCTTGAACTTAAAGTTCCAGCAGCATGTTCATATGTTTTTCTTCTGATTAATCGCCATTGCAAAATATTATGGTGATGTCCATAGTTTGTGCGCGGTGAAAAAGTATTTGAAAAATGTTATTTTTATAAAGACTCATACAAAGAGGGTTTCAAAGTGACATTATTCAGAAGAAAAAAAACAAAGAAAAAACGGAAAAATAGAAAGAGAGAGAGAGAGAGAAATCATGAAAATCAAGGGTGTGGATTGTTTTTATATTGCTCAAAGTATTTATTCAGTTTAAAGTTTGTTCATTTTTTTCTTTGATTAACGATGTCTCAGACCTCACTGGTATCAGCCTCTTAGCTAGCCTTCTTGCTGAATCATGCAGAAGTGATCTTTTGAAAGCAGATGGCAAACTTACAAAGATTCCTCTAAATGTCCTATTAACCATAACTTATTCTGAAACATACATGTTTATTGTATGCAGTGTTTCTAAGTCCTGATCATAGAAGATAATGATAGACTGTGACGTGCCGGGTTTATTCAAAAGACATGTAGTCTCGAGATTTTGCTTTCAATCATCTGTTTCACATCATAACTTTAGCCAACTGGTAAGCATATTTTAGTCTCGAAAGTCAAAACCCTTTTGTTATCTTGTATGTATGTATCTGTTATCCTTTCATCTTCATTTATGTGATTGTAAGCAATTTTCGTTTTAACTTACAGGTTCAAAGTATAATCACGACAATAAAGGCATACAGCCAATATAATGCTTAATTTGTTAGCACTTTGATAAAAAATTTATAAGTTACTACTTACAGAGTGACAATCACGTATTCAAATGCCATATGTCATGAAAATAATTTGGCTGCTCTGGGTGAGGACTAGTATTAATGTTTTGGTTGCTTTGCTTTGTAGTTTGTTCTAGAGTAAACGACTTTTTCCCACCCAAAGGTTTACCTTAAATACATTTTTCCACCCAAAAAGTTTTAAAATACCACTTTTTTCACCCAAAGTTTATATTTCGTTACTACTCAAAACTGATTCCGACAGCAAAATTTTTCTTTGTCACCACCATTTAAACCTCTGGTCTCTTCTCTACAGAACCCCTCTCACTCTGACATTTGATTCTTCGTCAATTGTCAACTATCGTAAAGCTAAGGTTTCTTGTTCTTAGCTGATATCAGTTGATTTCGGAGGCGAATATTCAATCGGTCATCACTATTCAATCCACCGGCCTCCACTCTATAAAATTCCTCTCATCTTGACTCCTGATAACTAGCTGAACACTGATTAAGAAAGTGAAATGTATTTTAGGTATTAACGAAATATAAACTTTGGGTAGAAATGTGGTATTTTAAAATTTTTTAGGTGGAAAATTGTCATTAAGGCAAACCTTGGGTGGAAAAAAGTCGTTTACTCTTTGTTCTATTCAGTCTGTCTTTACATTTGTGAAAAAAATGGGGCCTTTTGGGTGATTGGATGAAAAAAAAAAAAAATTAACTCTCAAACTCATCTCCAATCCCATTCAATGAAAAAGAATTTTAACTCTCAAACTCGTCTCCAATCCCATTCAATGAAAAAGAATTTTAACTCTCAAACTCATTTATTATGTGTGGATTAGGTTGCCATGCCATCATTTTGATGTTGACATAAATAATCGTTTCTTAGATTTAGATGCTCGTTTGTTCATATGATCTAGAAAATACAATAAAATAGATAAGCAATATACGAAAACGACACTTAAACAAGATGAATAGAAGCAGGTTGTCATGTCGTTTTATTTCATATGCTCAGATTTTATTACAAATTAATCCGTTTCTTTAAAGCTAAAAATTGAGCACCTACTACAACAAAACAAAAGAACAGAAATAGCTTTAGCTAGGCTTAAATAAAATGTATTTTCCTAATTGAGCACACTACAATCATGACGGATATTTCCGTTGTTTCCCAACTTCACACCGACCCGACCCATCTTGGTCATAGCAGCAATAAAAGCCTTATTAAAGGAGTCGGAGTCACTGGCCCACGCATTTACAGTGGGCCTTGACCTGGTGTCCGTATAGAGGACCTGATCTGACGTGAAAAGACCCTTGTGCTGTTGAAGATTCTTGAAGTATACATTATCAAAGGTGTTGGGTGTGTTGGGGTCCATGTTGATGGCGATCCGAGGGTCCACATCTTGTGGGCACAATTGCTTTAGCTCCGGCACATATGTCTTGTTGATCGTAGGATCAACAGGATTTTTACGGCTGTAATTGTATATCCTGTCTGAAAACTTGGCGCAGTGAGCGAATCCAACGGTGTGTGCAGCTGCCAACAAAAAAATAATAATAAGCAAATCCTCATTGTTAAAATTATAATTAACCACTCATCTTGGATCCTGCATGTGCATGCAGCCTAGTAAATTTGAATTAAGTCAATTACTTAAAACAAAAATCCTTTCTTTAATGATCCACCAGAAAGGAATCCTGTCAAGTATTGGTTGGATGGTGTTTTGGTATGGGAAATGTACCAGAGAGAGCAATCATGTCTGATTGGTCGAGTCCGTTAGCGGCAAACATTGAATTGAGCTGCCTCAAATTGAAAGTTGGCTGCGGTAACTTCCCATCTACGCTCGACGCAGTTGAACTTAGACCATCTAATCTTCCTAACTCAACCGCATATGAAGGTCCACCGGACTGCATCATCATCATCACAAAGTAACACCATGTTCATGTATGTTGAAAAAAGAAAACACCATTTTAATGCTAATTGATATGTATAAGCCATAGATACCAGGGCAACGACATCTCGAGTGGCCATGGCGAGGATATCAGCACAGGAGACCTTGTTTTTGCAACTGGAAACTTCATCAATTGCCTGTTTGGCTCTGATTACGGTGTCGAATCCATCTCCAGCTAGGGATAAGTTATCAGGGTGATCCTTCTCAGCTTTGTTGCTTCCAGTTGATTGAACTATAACTGACGCATCACAACCCTGTAATCATTTATGGATAGAGATAGAAGATTCAGAGTAATCCTACCAAAATAATTTAATGCAGTTGCTAATAAATGTTTATACCTCGACGAAGCAATCATGGAAGAAGAGACGGAGAGTGGCAGGAACTGTAACAAATGTTTCTTTGAATTTCTTCTCAACCGTTTTTCTAACGATGCTTTCTACATCCGGGCAGATATCAGCATAATAGTTGCGTTTGAGTTCTGCAGAGACTGTACTGGGATATAGGAACAAATACAGAGAAAATGACAGAATCAGAATAACACTGAAATTGAATCGAGCCATTTGAGGCACACGCTGAATAAGAAAAAAATGGGGATAGAAATTAAGGGTAATTATGTATGGAGGGTTGAGTAGAAGGAATATATAAGCAGTGGTAATGGTGGTGTGCCTGGAATGTAAATGGAGTAATATTTTTATAATAGAAAAGTGGTGTGCTTGAAAGAGACGTGGAAATGATGGCCGCCTTCGTCTCATTCTCATAAGTGCTCTCCAATTGTCTCAATGTTTTTGAGCTATAATTAAATTACATTTGAAGATTGAAAACTCAAAAACGTGGTCCAAGTAAACAATCAATAGAGAGAGAATGCTAATTGAAGTGGAAAGTAGCATGCACGTTAAGCTTAGATGACCCTGTGGGCTTAATTAATGGAATTAGTTATAGGAATAGGAGATCTCATTTGATTCATTTATGATAAATTTCTGGATTACAATCTGGACAAAACATCATTAATTTATAATTATGAATGCACCAGTCAAACACAGATATAAAGCACACTGAATACAATTTCCTCTCGGGGGCTGGGAGGAGAATTAAAGACTCGATTTCATGCAAATTCTAAATACTATTATATAATTACTCCATTTTCAGTATTAGAAAAGAAAATCCTACTGCGAATTTTATACTAAACAACATGATTTTAATACTTATTACCACTCCCTTGGAAATCTTTTTTTTTTTTTTTTTTTTGTTTAAAAAAAAAATATCTAAGGTTTCAATTAATTAATTTTAAGCAGAATAAGCTTAAATTAAATAAAAATAAATGAGGAAATTGATTTTTTTTTCCTTAAAAGGGAACACGATTGTGTTTGGGTTAAAATTATGAAAGTCCTGAGTGATACGACACCGATAATTGATCCTCATTTGGACTATGAAATATGTAACATGATAAATTAATATCAATTATTGACGGCTTGCATTGGTGTTACATCATTTGATTTATATAAACTTGATAAATATAGTATTGCTCTTAAAAAAGGCAAAAACACAAGTCCGATCAAGGCTATTTAGAGTCAGTCTTCATAAATGAGTCTAGGCTTAGGCTTTTGTTTTTTTTGGTATTGATGGCCACCCGTTGTTCTTGCAATAATTTAAATTCAAGATCCTTAATTTTTTAATTCTTCGATACATTATTCACTCTATTATATCATTAGACTATTTGATTGGAATAATGACTACACATAAAAAAATATTCCATCAAAGTAGTTGATATAGCAAACCACAAGGAAAAACAATTATGAATGGAACCCATTTAAGACATTTTAAAGATAAGATAAAGTTATATTTAACATAATATTTGTGAGATATACAAAATTGTAATGAATAATATGATAATTCCAATTATCAAAGTAACATCAAATATAACAGTTGGAAATGTTAGGCATGGGTTGACAGTTGACAGAGAGCAATGGTGAGCACATGGAAATTTTAAAAACTGTTGAAATTATTGTCCAATTACAAAGCCTTTCCAAATTAAAATAGAGAGAATCAGAGAAATTTTGGACGTATCATTAAATATTATACACACATCTAATTAACGACAAGGAGAAAAGTTAGGTTGTCTTATCCACGTCACTTTTACAATTCTGGAAGACCATAAATTATTACTAGCTAAGGCCTAAGGATATCCCTAACAATTATTCACTTTTGGTTTTAGTTAGTACTTATCCGTTAAGTTTAATTAAAAAAAATGATAAGATAGTAAATTAAAAAATAATCAAAGGGTATTTTATTGAAGACCATAAATTATTACTAGCTAGGAATTGTTTTCTTTTATTTCAAAGCTTTTTTTTAAATGAATTAACTTTCTTAAAATGCTTCAATTCATTTTAATTTTACATTTTTCTTTATTTCAATTCAACACTGATAAATAAACCTATGTCCAATTCCAAAGGGTTTTTACTCAAACATTAATGTTAAGAAAGACATTTTGTTAATATATATTCTTTAATGCTATTGATATGTATATATACATATAGGTCATGTTACAATAACTTAATTTGAAACACTAATTTTATTATATTAATACAATATTTACATATCAATATAACAACCATACATACTTGAAATAAAAACTAAAAAATTATTTGAGATAAGTAACATACTCTTAAAAATAATATAAATTTATTTTTCTTAAGGTGGAGAGTTTGTTTTAGATATTGGATACATAGTGATGGGGCATAGACAACCCAGGATGGAATATGATTGGAATATAAAGCTACTTGGGTACGTAATCTTCAATTTTATTTTCAATGTTTGTTTAAATGTTGTCTCTTTCCCCAATCATGCTTACAGCTTGACTTAGCCCTTTGTTAGCTGCACGTTCTTGTCTCACACAGATGGAACCTAAAGAAATTTGATTGCTTGTTTCTTTCTAAAATTAAAATAGAACTCGTGGATCTCTCTAGCCGGCCTCCAAGGAAAAATGAATTATAATATAAGATCTTAGTAAATTTTATGAGTTTTATCAAATGCCTTCTTTCTCTCAGTCCAAACAGTCCCAGCCAAGTTGAATAGTATAATTAAATCAATGAAATTATGTCATATGTACTCTTCAATATTCACATGTCATGATAATACTAACGTAGTAAATTTATGATTTATTTGATATATAAAGATCAAATTGGGTGAGACATCATGAACTAGAGCAGTGCAAAATTTGATTGATAAGTGGGAAAGTGTCAAAGTTAGACACGGATCAAATAAAATATAATGAGTAAACAAGAGGTTCCCACCCAAGGTTAAGCGAAATCTAAAGTTCCCACTCTTGGTTTCATAAATTTCAAATTCCACCCTTAAATTAACACTGTTAATGAATTTTGACTTCTGAAACAGTTGAGAGTATGCTATTACTATACTACCCTTGACTTTTGATCTCACAACCACCCAACCACCACCACCTTTCGCCACCATCCAACCACCACCACAAACCCACCCAAAACTCAACCACAGTCACCATTATCACCCAACGTCGCACCACCACTCTTATCCAATCGCACCAGCTAGCTACATCAGTGAAACCCAATCGCGTCGTAGCCCTGCTCCCTCACCAGCCACCTCAAAAAGCAAAAGCAAATCCCTTGGACTTTTCTCGAACAATTGGGAGGCAGTCGCAGAAAACTTCAAAATATCAACTTCAATCCATCAATCAACCTAAAAAAAACCAATAATATGCAGCAAAAACAGTCAAACACCCTAACAAATCAACAAGAAATCAAAATATGTTTCAATCTCCCACAAAAATCCAACAATCAACAATTTTTCAAAACTCAGCTACAATGAAGGTAGTCGCGGAAATGCTCGGCTTTGGTGAAGCAAAATGGTTGGAAGGGCAAAGGTTAGCGATGGAGTATCCCAGTAGTAGGTGGAGGTTGTTGGATTTTGGCCGCCGTAAGGCCATCACGCTATGGCCAAATCTAGCCACAGCGTGATGGCCTTAAGGCGGTCAAATCTAGATGCCGAGGAGCCTATTCCAAGAAGTGAAAAGAGGGAAGAAGAAAGAAAGTAGGAGGAAGAGAAGAAGGAGAGGAGGAAAAGAGGAGAAGAAGAAAAAGAAAAGGCGGTAGTAGTAGGGTGATGTTAGGTGTTTAACTGGATATGGGAGAGAAAGGAGGGAGGGAGGGAAGGAGAGGGGAGGGAAGGCAAGGCTATGGTGTGGTTTGGAATGGTGTGGGTTCAATGACTATTTTACCCTTTCACCGTTTTATTAAATATTTTTTTGTTAATTTAAGTTTAAGGGTGAAAAACTGGAATTTATGAAATCAGGGGTGAGAACTAGTCTTTCGCTTAACCTTGGGTGGGACTCTGTCGTTTGCCCAAAATATAACACAAAGGAAGTTGCCAACTCCAAGTAAAGAAGCGCAAGAAGCAACAACACAATCAAAGCTATTCTCTAAAATTGACAAATGACAATTGATGCACGCAAAGGCAAAACTTTGATTAAAAAGGTTTTGTCATGGTATGATTAGGTTATGATTAAATTGTATCAATTAAAAATTATCTAATCTAAGATAAATAATGCTATAGATACCTGCACTTGAGTCTTTTTTTTTTTTTTTTTTTTTTTTAAATGACAATAGTGTTAGAACCAATTTACGTGCATCTCAACTAATTCCTCGAGACCCTGAAACTACTTATTATTTTTTTTTTTTAATGATTGAGAGTGTCTGGACTAGCTTACGTGCACATCAACTAATTTATCGAGACCCTGAAACTACCGACCGGATAAGAGCTCCAGTGATTACCCCTATTAACAACCAAGGAGAGACTCGAACTCAAGACCTCTTTAGTAATATACCTAAGAGTTTCTATTGAATCACCCAACCACCCAGAGGTGGTTATACATACTTGATTTTGCAAGAAATTATATGACATTTATTGTATAAAATTATTCTCTAACACATGTTAGTGGGGGCTATGGGGGCGTTGAGTAACTCAACTAAAATATATTTCAGTATTACCACATATATTTATAAATACACCTTTAAATCATCTTGCATTAAGGAAAACAAATCAATTCAAGTATTGACCGAGTAAAATTAATTCGATAAATACAACTTAAAACTTCAGAAAATGTACTACTAAACAAAAACATTTTATATTTTGAGGCAGTGGACTGGACTTTTTGAGCTTTCTTTTGGGCCTGTCTAGTCATTCGGAGAAAGAGGGTATTGGGCCGAAAACCTATCTGTGATTGACTGATTGTAGTTAAATTTTGATGAAATTAATTGTTATTAATTTATCCGAGTCACTTGTTAAGTATTGGACATCATCAACTCTCTAATTGTACTGACATTTGAATTAGTTTTTGTCGAGTTAGAATTATTCCTGGAAAAGGACGAACTTTGTCCCCCACTCAGGTCAGGGTCATCATGTCAATGGGAGAATATGAATTACTTAAATCCATACAACACGATTTAACTGATAATATAATCATATGTATAAATTAACACGATCTTGGTTGATTGATACAGATAAAATATTTGAATCATATTAAATTAAAGCTTAACTAGACCCAATTTGTTTCTTGTTTGATCGAAATAAATAAAACTAAAATTAAAGAAGAAAATAGCTTTAAACTAAATTAAACAATCTAAAAATTAGAGTAATATTACATATACATCATTTTTATACAATATTTCCTATATAACATTATATGACAAGATATGATTGGCTAATTTAAAGTTAAAATTAAACTTTCACTCAATCATATCTTATCACATAATATTGTATGAGAAATGTTGTATGAAAATAATGTATGTGTAATATTATTCCTAAAAATTAATAGATAAATACTGTAGTATAGTATTTGTATAATCAGATAAGAAAAAAAAAAAAATGGTGGGTTGGTTAGAGCAAGTATGATTTTCAAAGGGTAGAGTGGGGGGGTCCTTGAATTATAATGAGAGAAAGATGATAAATGATAATTTAAGAATTGGGGCACCCGCACCTTTGGATTTTTGTAGTTTTCTTTTCCTTGAATTAATAAAGGTTTATAGAAGATACGTACGAGGCTTTAATTTTGTGACGCAATCACCTCATGATGTTTATTGAAAACATTGATAAAAAAAGTATAATTTACAACTTCTCCAATGGGGTCACCTCTGGATTTTTTTATTGTGGACCATTTGCAGAATTTATGTTTTTGCTTTGTTAGGTGAATGATTTGGGGTCTTTCATCTTCCCCGACCAGAAAGAAGAACTTGAGAAATAAAGTTGATTTTTTCTTTTCTTTTCACAAACATTAAAAACTATAAGGTTTGAAACTATTTAGATCTTCAATCAAACAATAATGAGCTTAATTGAATTAAATATAAATAAAAATCATTTCTAAAAATAATTGAATTGATTTTATATGATATGTGACATAGTATGAGACATAACTATATTTAAAATCTAGAATGCATGTTTCATTGTTTTGAGATGTATAATATTGTTTTTTACTTAAAATTTATTTTAGACGTTAGACAATTTTTAATGGACAATACTACACTTACAATCCAATATCACAATTTTTTTCTTATAACTTCGATGTAACAGTTCATAATTAATCAGTTTGTAATGTGTTTCATCTGTCCAAGAATGAATCCTGTCTCTCCAATTGTGAGTTGACCAATTGAGAATTATCACTTTAAGATCACGAGAGAAAGTTTATAAGATTGAGTTTTGCGTCAACCTTTATTGATGTGTAATTTATTGGTAAAATTGATGACATTTGTGTGGCCAATGCATTTTAAGTTGTATTCTAACATGTAATCACATTTATTGTTGACAACACAACAATTGAATTAAAATCAGTAAAATCCTTAATCATTTTTCTCTTTCTAAATATTCTAAATTATTTGATGTTATATCTGTCGTTTTTCCAACTAACTTTTCTAAATCCCACGGCATTTCTGAATATTCTCTCCAAAATAAAAAATTCCCAATCATTAATGCTCTCACTAAAGTAATAATCATTTGTTAATTAAAATTAGAAAGCTCATCAGATCAGATCAAATCAAATCAGCACCATTTGCGCCATCCATATGATTATAATTCACACAATCTATAACACGAGAACAAAATCAGATCCAATTGACAAGTATGGTACTTGACGGTTCATTAAACGACACATGATCTTCCAAAGATGTGGTCGTTGTCCCGCCAACAAGTGGTGCCACGTGTTTCTCCACTATGGGTGGATGGGTTTCGTTTTCTTCTTACAAAACATTATATTATATTGTTAATAAAATTACTTAGATTCTTGATTCCACACATTAGGTCATCATTATTACTATACACCTAAGAGCAAGAGTTTATATTAATTTATGATTGGGTTCGTGAACCTGAAAGGAACCTATAATTAATTCGTAGACAGACAGTCGTGATTCTTGATCTTTTCAATTCGCTGAAAAAGATTATTAAAAAAATAATACATCGCTTAGCCGCGTTTGGCGAATAATTAATATGTTCATCATGAACCTTCATTTCTATTATCGAGAGGTAGCTCTTAATTCTGATTAGACTGTTTTCTCAACTATTGTATAATTAAAATGTTCCTAAAACAAATCAACATCCGAAAAACTATTGGATAATTAATGTTGAAGCACAGCTCATTGGTGGGACAATTGAAAAATTTAACATTAAATTCATTATGAATAATGTGTGATTGAAATATGTGTTTCTTGCATTAGATATTTAAATCGAGAAACAATATTTATTTAATACCGTGGGACTAATTGATAAGAGATATTAATGCGCCACCCAAAAACATTATTGTAATATTACAATTTACTGCATTACGGACTTATATATACCGTTGTGTACATCGAAATCCCACATCACGAGCAATGGAATGAAGCATGCACATTGTTTTTTTGTTTTTTGTTTTTTTTTTTAAATAAATGGAAGGAAAGGCCGTACCCGTTCGTATTATTAAGATTCCTTTGTAAATTGAAAACATTTTAATCTTCTTACAATGTGAATGCCTGCCCATGTAAGAAAATGCTCCCTTTATCATCTACAAAAAGCGTTTCTCTTCATATATTAATTAGAAATTGCATGCACGAGGACTCAAATTTTCATGCTTCTTTGAGTTGCTCAAAGACTGAATGCAATGGACACAAACATGCATGCTATTGCTAGCTATGGCTAATGCGATGGTGGCAGAAATAAAAAAAGGATTCCCCCCTATCAACCTATCGTTATCAAATACAATATTACAAACTAAACAAGTGGTGAGAAACTTAGAAATTGAATCCGATACTTCCTTTGTTGTTGCAGATCATTTAATTTTAATTTTCGTTTTCAAAGGTGCGTGGGACCAAACAACAACAAGAGCCCGTGGCTCAGCCTTTTCAGCACACCCCTTTGGACCCACCGTCCCATACGGCTGCACCTCCCCGAACCGGCAACGCGTGCTTCCGTGTCACTCTCTCTCTCTCCAGGTGTTTTTGGGTTTTACTTTCTTGCAATTTGCAATTGCATTATTTTAGATTAGGGAGAGAAATAATAAACAAGTTCATTTACAGAAGACCCCAACAAGCATGTGATCATCTCTTTTTCTTGATAAGTATGTGCCGACATGGATTTTATTTTTGATTATATTATTATCTGTCTTTCTGGTTCCGCTTATTATTAAAATTGGAATTATTCTGATTAAAATATTAATTTAGTTTTTCCTAATGAATTTTAAAAAACCCATCCAACAAAGTTTGAAATTCTTTAAATAGGTAGAATCATATCCATCAATCTTTTAAATTTACAGACAGATCATGCGGTTCCAGTCTGTGTGTACTCTCTGTACAGCTACTACATGACAATGACTGAGAGCTTTTAACTGGACAATAAAGGAGTTAAGTCTCTTATCCATGGCTTATTTTTAAGTCACATATTTGACCGTGAATTTATAAAAGTACATTTAATCTGTACCATGCACCTTGTCTTAATTATCTGGGTCCACTTATATCCACCGTCTGATATAATATCATGATCGATTTCTTTCCCACCCCACTCACATGCTCAATTAACATCTATAATCATTATGTTGGCTCTTCTCTGAGGTTGATATAGGTAAGGAATCCAAACCTCCGAGACCCACGTAATTATAGCACAATTTTATATAATAAAAGAAAATTGAAAAAATAATGTAAGATATGAAGTTTCCGCAAGTGATTGATATGGGATCCTGAGAGTTTAGGTTATGGATTCATCGTACGGTCGAGATGTAATTGACGGCGGGCCAGGAGATGCCACCTTAAGTTCCTTCACATTGATGTGGACCACGAAAATAATATGTAGTATATAATTGAGACAACTGTTAGAAGAGATATAAAATTCTTGGGTGCATGTGATTCAGCCTGCTCCTTTGATGATTGTCTGGGTTAATTTAAGGGCCTTGTGATCCTCAACAATTATATAAATTTAGATGCACCAAAGTTTAGATATTAAATTATGATTACTTATTTTGTTTAATATTATCTGCATTGCTGTACCTGCCTGAGGCATCTCCTTCACAAAAACTGAAGCCCATTGGCTCTACCACTGGGATTTGTTTGGCATGCCTCAAACCCCAGATGCAACAACACTTTGGTTTCTGTGTGAATGAGAGAATCTTAAATTCTTCTTCTTATCACTCTTTATTTTTGTATATGTATATATATCTGTATATATGTTTTGCAGTATATTCAAGTGATGGAGAGCAAAGTCTTCCTTCATCAACTAGAGCTCTACCTGAAGAGACTTCCTTTTTTATCTGCTTTCCTTGTCATCTGCTGAACAACGACAACAAAGATTGAGATCTTCTTTCAGCTCCTGAAATTCTAACAGGTCAGAAGATTCTTATCTATTCTTCATACATTTCTGGTAACTCTTTTATATCATTTTTTTTTTTTTTTTTTGGGGAAAACATTCTCTGATACAACTGTTTTTTCATGTCTTCACGATGCATTTTTTTTTTTCCAAATCTTTTGTAAATTTACCAGTTGATCTCAGAAGGAAAGTACTAATTTGTTCTTTCCGGTTTCCCTTCTCTACGACTAGATACCAAATATGATTAATTTTAGTTCTGCATCTTAGAGACTTTCTCTTTGTTTAATTAAAATCTGTATACCATGTACATTGTAAGATTATAACTTTCATGGAAGTAATACTGCAGTACTTAATAAATAATAACATGATGAAACATTTGAATAGGTCGAAATATAATGCGAAATCTTTCAAATGATTTCTTACCTTACATATATACGTTATACATGAACAGATCAGCTGTTTACAAGAGGCAAATTCATGTTTTAAATATATAGATCTTTCATTCTTTCATGGTCTAAGTAATTGAATAGGTATGAAATAGATTACGTTCCATATAGAGCATCATCTGTAACTTGATATGCAGCAGATATGTTGAGATCAACACAGATTTTGCTTATTCCAGAATGATAGTTCATTAACTGGAATACGATAAGAGGCAAATTCATGTTTTGTTATAGTGACGATAAGTCTTGTCGTAGGATGACCCACGTCATGTCGGTCAGTAATATGCGAAATGTACGAATTGTCGTTTAAACTGATCCACTTGTTAAAACTGAACTTAGTTGTTACCCACTTGTCATTTGCAAGTATTCTAAAACGATTCACTGGTCCTTCGAACAAATAATTCACCATTTGCTAAAAAAAAAAAAAAGAAAGGTAGAATTAGACGTATGAAATAAGCATATAGGTAGATTATGTAGCATTAATACCTTGGTAGTATTGGAAGATATTTTACATGTGATGTGAATTAAATATTGTGGCCCAAAATGACTGAATGGATGTAAAGCAAAGTGACCTAACGGACAAATCATACTAAAGACAGCGCAACAGAAGGAGTTCATTAATGCTCTCATCGCTCTTCTTACAAAATAAAATAAAACAGTCTATCAGTATTAGGAATTTCCTTTGCTTAACTTGTTTCCTATATACGATTTTCTTGTTCGTTAATCTTAGTACTGGTTATCATTTTACAGGTGGATATATAGGTGAAGCAATTGCAGAAGTAATTCTCATATAGGCAGGATTTAGCTTCAACAGTACGGTCATTTTTGTATTGATTCTTAAGGTATAGCACAACTGCTCAATCAATCTTCGATGGAGAAGCTTCTTAACCCATATGATAAAGAATTCATGAGGATGGCCATGTTAAAGCATGAAGAAACGTTCAAAGAGCAGGTACTTAGTTATTTCTCTTCTCAGTTATTTCCCTTTAAGTGGAATACATTTATGATTCAAATTTGATATTTCAGGTACATGAACTCCATCGTCTATATCAAATCCAGAAGATATTGATGAAAAACACTGAAAGCAGCAAGTCTAATGGACTGAATCAAGAACTATGGAACTCAAAGCATGGTTTTACTTTCAACCAGCTGAATAATCAACAACTTAACTTGCAACATAAGTCTCGTATGCAACTTGACTTGGAGCAGCCTGTTGATGTTAACATCGATGAATCAAATGTCAATGGAATGTTGGAGATCATAGATGAAAGAGAGATTGAGCTAACACTGGGACCAACAACGTACTCACGGAGGAAGAAACCCGAGACCTCGCCGCGTACTTCTGATTCTGGACGAAGCTTTTCTTCTTCTTCCACGGGATCCAGCCATATAAACAGGACAGGTTTCCAGACCCAGAAGAGGACTAATAGAGCTAGACAATTATTAAGTGGCTGCGAACTGGGGCTTGACACACAGTTTGGGTATCAAAGTGGAAGTAAAACCACTATAGATAATGAAGAACAATTGAGACAGCAGCAGGAAATTCTAAACCAGCCACCGTGGTTATTCCAAGTTTTGAGCCTCAACATGACTTGAAAATATCTTCTTTAGGGGATGCAGAAATATTTTAAACTGCTTCCTATAGACTAATATTGCTGTGATAATTGATGTATGTGTGGCTTTTTCTGCTTAGTTTTTTAGTATAGTGGGTGATGTAGTCTTTTGTAAAGTTTACTTGTTTTCCGCGTCTTGCAAAACCCATTATAATTACATATTGACCTCATCTGTTATTTCTTTATGATTTCTAACCAGTACTCATGACCTTACATCACCATTATCATCCTTGTTAATTAAATCCATTGAAAATGCTTAATTAGATTGAGTTGACATATAATTTTGTCTCTACTTATATAATAATAGTAACAATGTCATTCAAACGTCTAACTTTAGAAAAACATAAGTCATAATTAAGTACAATTAACCATTACTTGGTGGTCTGATGATAAAAGAGAAAATGTGTTTAACATGAGTTTGGAGCTCCCGAAGGTATTAATAGAGGTGACTATTAGGAGGATTTATCTAATCCTTCATTTTAGGGTTCCAATAGATTAATTGGGATATAAACTAACTTGAACACCTCTAATCACTAAAAAAAAAAAAAAAAAAAGTACGATTGTATTAACATATACGAGGAACAATTATTTTTCCAATACAATTAGCATATATGAGAAACAATTATTTTTCCAATACAATAAAATTTTACGATGTATAAGTTTTAATTTATGGCATGTTGATCCAATGTGTCAAGTTATTCCGTTCCTTTTTATTGGGAAAATTTCATAGATCAAAAGAATTCGCTTTAAGTCTATTTTCACAACAGTAAAGTCAAAGAGGAATTCACTGTCAAAACAAATTCCTTGAAACACAATGCCAAAGGAATCCCAAGTCCATTATTTGTCTGGGCCTCTACTGTCTACTCTAATCAAACAGAATTCTGACCGAGAATAGTTGCCACTTGCCACTGTCCATAAAGCAGGAATATCTTCAAACTACATATAATTGGTGACAAAAAACAGTTATTTTTCCATATTTCACACTGCACTATAAATTTTCTCAACAACGAAAAATAAATAAATAAATAAGACTCTGATCTTTTTTCTGCCATCAAGAAGATGAACAATAGATTCTCCACTCAAAATTTTAACGCCTGTCCATAAACAACTATGCCATACTTGAGAAAGTTCAAATTCCTTATGAAAACTTAACTTTCATGGGCACCATCTTTTAGTGAATGATGCTCTGACTCAGACAAGAACGTGCCCTACTGCTAGCCTGTCTCTCGAGGGATTCTTACTTTTCCTAAAGCTCTTTATCTGAAAGGACACAATAATTTTGTTTTAGACCCCACTCAGATGTTATTAACAGCTACTGCATTTGACTCTTTTGAGGGGGCCAAAAGGTCTGTTTTAGCTTAAGATAAGCCCTTTATGGAACAAAAGGGTACCTAGATTATCATTCCCGAGAACTCAATCTCTGGTTATTTGTTACAACTTAAGAGCTACATGGACGGAAATAATAATTTCCAGTATCAAGTATTGTTTACTAGTAGTAGATTGAAGTTTAAACGTGCTATCTTTTTTCCTGGCATGGCATATCATTATTCTATATATAAATCATTTTTAACTTTAAAAGAGTATTGCTATGAGAACAATAATAATGGAATCCGTAGCAATTTCCGTTCCAATGGCATGAAACCCAGAAATGTGAAGCTGTCAGTTTTAGCTAAAGAGAAAATCAGGTGAGGATGCATCACACAAAACCATTAATTTCTAATATATCACCCGCCTTTTGTATAATAAATCTTAGTGCCACATGAAAACAAATGTTATTTACAGTGATATCACACAAGACCATCAAATACAGAGAGGGAAAACAGAACAGACAATAGCTACTTGTCTTCTCAAGCCTTAAAACAAATCAACAAGGATACCACACTGTCCATGGAGACCTAATAAGTGTTCAATATAAGCCAATGTGTCATCAAGATATGGAATGCCGCCGGTCTTTGGGTGGTTTCATTTTGCTTTTGGGGTTTGAGGGTGAGACTCCATCAGCACGCACAAAAGGATAAAGGCGTCCAAGTTTTTTCGACACAGAATTCATGAATGATTTTCTAGGCAAAGGAGGTTTATCAAAAGATACTCGAGGGTTTGATAACGGACTGGCGGCTGCTGAATTGGATGTTGACTTCTCAATTTCTTTCATTCTCATTTTCATCTTGACTAACTCAATTTTCAGGTCCTCATTCTCTCTTCGTAAGCTAGAGAGTTCATCTGGTAGTGGGCGGATATCAGTGGAGTATAAACTTACTTTGGAAGGAATAGCAGGAGAATCTCCACTCATGACATCCCTAAGGCGTTGTTGCTCATAGTAAAGCACTTGAACCACAGTTTGAACAGGGAGCCGATCATTTTGTGCAGCATGAGCACAGGCCTCTCGAGAAAGCTTCTGACAGTCCATCAAGCTACAAACTTTCTTCCTCTCGAGGTCACTTAGAGTAGGATGAGCCTGTGAATTACGAAGCAAAAGGTTAATCAAATGGAAAACTTCTTTTAAAGGAAGACTATAGGAGTTATATTGCTGATTATAAGTTCTACATTAAAATATCATCCCCCATTTCACTAGTGAATAAAAAAGAAATCTTACATTTCAATCTTATTGAAACTCTTAACTAGAATTAATCAAGAAAACCTCATTTTGAAATGTAAGTGGCCTAGCCAGTGGTAGCATACGAAGTGTCAAAATGTTTAATTAGATGTTCCAGATGAATAGAATTGAACATAATGCACCTTGAGGTAGATGTCTATGGCTCTATACATCCCATCTTCTGTTACCCTTGATTGCTCTGGAATAAGTTCAGCAAGACTAATGAATTTTGCAACAGATAAGTTACGATCAGAGGCTATTTCAGCAAGGTAGTTCTCCATTAGCTTCCCGACGCGTTCCATATCACTTATTGTGGGAGAAACATAATCATCATCTGCATTGTATCTCAAACGGTGTCCTTCCACTTCACATTCAAGGTAATTCAGCATGATTCGCTGCACTGTGTCCATATCAAACAATGTATCCCCGGTAAAAGAATATGCAGGAATCAAGAGATCATCCAGTACAGCCTGTCCTAATTGCAAGGCCATTCTCTTCTCCAAATCAAGCCGGCAAGCAACTGTAGTTTCAAGATATATTGCAGATCGAAGCAGCATCGATAGAAAGCTAACCGACAATGCATTCTTTTCCCTTGGCAGAAGACTCACTATTGTTTCTAAGATAACCCTCTTTTCATGTTCGTGTTGAGGCTCAATCTTCTTCCTCCCTTTTCCAAATAGTTCCTGCATCAGAAAAGAATTCCAGGTTCAACACACAACCAATAGATTAAAACAACTCAATTTTTGGGTTGAGATCTCACCAAACCTCGAAGAGATTTCTGTGCATACAGCATCAGTACAGGACCTAGAGCATATTGTTTAAATCCCCTTGCCATCATTGCTATCAAAACCCGTTGGAAGATATCGATCCTAAATACAATCAAATCTTCAGCCCACCAATCAACAATGGGCTTCGGATGAGACGCCATGGTAGAAATTGTACCCTCAGTACCACTCTCAGCCCTACCAGACACAGAAAACTGGTTATCTTTGCAGGCTATGTATGCTATTGCATCTATGCAACGGCCCACCAATTTTACTTTCTCTGCAATTGGAAGTAAGCTCTCTGACATATGTAAAATGGTAACTGCTCCGGCAAGGCTCTTGAGTGCTACTTCATTCAAGTAAGCTTCAGCTCTTCCAACCAAATTTCCAACTGCATAGTCCTCGGTCATCTCAAGATACTCTGCCGCACATCTAAGCAGGGCAATGTTTTCTGTGGTAATCTCAAAATTAATTCCGTAGCAGAATTTTGCGGCAAGTTCAAATGCTTCTGCCCCACCCGGAACATCAGGGACTTCAATAACAGAAAGATCAGCTTCACTGGATTCAGATACCAGCTTCCTTATGTATCCACATTTTGAGACTAATGGAAACTGCAATTAATGCAGGAGATGAAACAGAAGACATATTGATTATAGAAAGTATGCTATCAGATTTCCATAATTTTGTTGCTTCTCTAAATTGGTTTGATTTGTGAACACATGGTAAAATACAACTGACAGATATGGTTCTCCAACTACACAGAATGGATATATAGACTAAATTAATTCTCTATCTTGTCTTCTTATTTACTATGCAGTGGAACAAAAATATTTTTGAAACTGGAAAGCAAGAGTTGAGACGAATTCTACCTTATGTAATGAAAAGGAAGTTCCTCCAACATGAACAGTGACATCACTTGGAATCTCCTGGGAGAAAATCCTGAAACAGATATAATACAAATAATGAACTTAAAATACCATCTTCAGGATTATCCTTCTTTATTTTATTTGAGAAAAAAAGGACTTGAATAAAACATATATATAAACATGAGTTTAAACTTAAAGTGAATAAACAAAAACAAATGATACGAAGCAAACCATTCACTGGTTCTCTTCATGGCAGTGGACAGAAGCTCCTTCTTGGTTGCCATGTTCAGAGTGGTGGGTGCAGCTTCTTCCTTATCAGACTCCACCATGGCAAAGAGTATTGAAGGATCTTTATCATGCTTATATCTCCATCAAATAGTGGAATAATAAGTCCAAAGTAGAGAAAACATTAGCTGCAGTTCCTCTACAAGGTATAGGTTTTGATGATGCAACACCTAATTAGCACGTACTCTTTTGTTTCTTTTCACCCTGTTGAAAAATATATATGTTTTATATAATAAAACCTGAAGTGAACAAGCATTCAATAATGATGAAGAGCAAGTTCTCAATTCTCTAATGACTGTATCATCCTGTTTCAGCCTCACAAATAATAAACATTTATTTATGAATTACCTATACTGGGTCTGTCTTCTAGCAAACGGAAGAGGTTGTCTGAGGTGTAAAGTATTGGAAAGAATGGTCTCATGGGTAATTAGGGTTTAGTAAGAGTGATGATTGATTAATAAAAGCAAAGAGAAGAGATGAAGATAATGGTGTGTGTGGTGTGGGCTTATAGAGAAGGATGGGATTGTTGCATGTTCGTTGGCGGCTAAAGGAAAGAGTTTCCACGTGGGATATATTCCTATCCACAAAAGTACACATCTCCAGTCAGCTATGTGGATTTTCATTGCATATTAAATAACACTAAATTTCCTAATTTTCCAAAATAATAAAAAATATATGAAAACAAGAAAATCAACCTTACACAGAATTTATAAATGGTAAATATGAACCAATCCAACATGTGCTCACTTGGATTCGACAGACTCTCAGCTTGTTTGTCCGTTTTATAAAGATAATGGTAGCCTAGCTAGTGTAGATTGGTTAACAAAAATATAAAAGAAAAAGGTTGATTCATGAATCTGGAGAGAACTTGAACAGCTAGATGGTCCATTTCATTTGTTTGGAAGCTTCCAGGAGCAAAAATAACAAAAGACACTAATTAATTAAAGCTGGTTAGCATATGGAAATTCTGGAAGAGTGGCCTTATCCCTACATTAAAGTTCTAGTTTTGGAAGACAAAGCACTCGAAACTCAGGTGAGTTTCAGCTGTTATAATGTGGCCAAAAGTTCCTCCCCCATCCTTTTACTTCCTTTGTTAAGTAAATCAAAGAATAGAGATTTCGTTATACTGCTATTTTACACATATATGTATAATGAATTTTTCTTTGCAATAAATGATGTGTCTCAAGTAAATGAGAACAAAAGCTCTTGTAAACATCAAACACCTACTCCAGGTTGTGTTTTCACATCTTGGACCTTCACCAACGTTGATTGTTCATAAGACAGAAGCTTTATCAGTTGATCTCATTTAATTATACGATTCCAGATCTCATCCTTGCAATGGTTCCACCACTGGGTCCCCTATTCATTAATAATTCACACCAAAAGTCCCATCAATCAGACTATCCAATTATACCAGCTAGCATTAAAGGTTTGTGGCTACCTACAAGACTGCCTCGACATTTCAAGCAATTTTAGCTAATCTTTCCTCAACAATCAGCCATAAAATTAATCTCAGAACTGTATGAACTAGACCGCCTGAACTAAGGCATGCAGCTGGTCTGGCTTTGTTAAGTGTCCGATTTCATACAAGATATCCACACTTATTAAGACGATCTTACTAATGACTTATATAAAAATGATCTTTTTTTCTGAATACATTAAAGCCTAAGCATGTTTGCTATATTGTTTTGGTTCTGAGTAAAAATATAGTTAATAAAATTTAATGAGTAGATTATCTTGCTTGTTTTTAATATAGGAAACCTTTTAATCTCGTATTGCCCCTTGAGTATGGAAAAGACATATCAACTCACCTTGTAAACAGCAGTCGGCAGAGAAACCTAGAGGTGCTAAAACATGTTGATGTAGGGCATACAGACATCAAATTACAGAGAGCACAATGCATGTGCTCTACTACATATGGTAACATGGATAGAAGACATATGAAAGCAAACAAGTTGGTTTTTATGAATGTATAAAAAAGCAAATCAATTCTGTGGCTGCTTTCCGGAATGAAACAAAGTAAATCATAATGAGTTTTGCATTTAGTCTTTTATGCAGGAAACGAACTGTAACTAAACCATATATAGAATTTCAACCAAGTAATGTAAGAGAAAAGTAGAATTTGAATGAACAAGTTAGAAACTTGAAGGTGAGGATCTTTCTATCCCTTCCAATAGACCAGTAATAACCAACACCGGGGCAATGACCTATCCAACTCGACGAACATTACACATGTTTTTTAATTAAAGAGTAATGTCTCAACTCAAGTGAGAATGGCACAAAAGATTTGAGTTAACATAATTCGTGAACCGATTAATTATCATAATTATTCTCTTATATTCAATAACTTACATGTAAGATCAATACCCTCCTTTACAATAGATTTTTCGTTGAGGTTTCTATATGGAAGAACCGTGTGCAGCATTATAAGTTGATTCTTGGATAAACATGTTTCACCGTTGGTGGGATAGCAGGCATAATTGATATTGTGCAAAGCTCGATAGCAATTAGTATATTGGATAATGTGATAAACATAGTCCCACAACGGAAGCAATTATTTCCATTAGTTACCTGTATTAAGATTCCTTCTCAGCTGAAATAGGTACATTTCAAATTTAAAACCTCTAAATAAGGGGCAGTAGGCAACCCCTTATCAGGAGTTGTCATTTCAGAGCAATATCTGTCCCCTTACTAACTTAGTCATGCCCATAAAAAATGCTGTGTGGATGTTTCAGCCACAAAAGGTACATGGTGATTAACCCTAGAAAGAAAAATGCCAAGCAATACCATTGAAAAGTTGTATGCTTCCATGCAGTGTGGGGTATATATATCGTGAATTATTTGAATTTTATGATCACTAACAGAGAGGAAATTAATTCAGTGATTGACTTCGAAGAAAAGGGCCTGGTGAAGCGATTAACTATTGAGAATCCTTTTCACATGTAAGAAGAGAATTTCCATACTCATCGTTTCATTTTTTGCCAACTTATATACATATAAACTAATCCTTTAAGATCTAAAAACTATCGATTGAATAAAAGTTGCAGTGACTACCCTGTTAACAAAGAGAGTAGTCCAAATGTTTGAGTGGTAAATGAGTAATCACAATTGAAAAAGAAATTTATTGTATTTCTATAATCTGTCCCCTCTTTCCTTCATCTCTGTTACTCTTTTCTATCACTCTTCGTTCAATAACAAATCAAAATCAATACAATTAATTCAGTTCCACAATACATCCATCCACTACTATTGATAATAACAATCAGATCAAAATCAATACCAAACCATCTACATATTTTCCATTTTCAAACAAATAAAAAGAAAAAAAAACCATAACCTAACCTAACTACCAAGCTAGGCCGCAACCACACTTGATCCATGAAAGGCCAGGTTGCCACCCCGCTTGGCTGCTTGGCCCAAGCCAAGCTATAGGCTATTGCGTTTTGCCCGCTGTGAGTGAAATCTGTGATGTGATTTTGAGGTGTTTAAATCTGAAATGTGTATATATGTTTTAAGATTTTAATTTTATTATTTTTATTCTTAAGGGAAAAAAAAATGATTGCTTATTTTTTGTTGGAAATTAAGGGAAAATTAATTGTTTATTTGGTTCAACGAATTTAAATAACTCTGAAAAACGGCATAGATTCCAAACTATTACCCAAACTTTAGGGTACATTTAATTTCCCAAGAGTTGTGATTCTCCCTAATTATAAATACCCATGTGAAATGTGAATGAATAATAAGGGCACATTATTTTTTTCTTTTTTATAATCGAAAGTGTCTGGTCCAGTTTATGTGTACCTCAACTAATCTCTCAGAATCCTAAAACTATTAACTGGGTAAAAGCTCCAATGACTATTCATATTAACACCCGTTAAGAGACTCAAACTCAGGATCTCTTGAGTACTACATCCAAAAGCCCCTATTAAATCATTTGACCACTTAGAGGTAGTTAAGGAACGCCCGGGGGGGGTGTGAAGGAGGGACCTCCTTGACTTTGAATATATATATATATAACTTTTAAATTCATCAAATATAGCAAATTAAATTCTTAGTTTTCACAAAAAAAAAATCTCACAAATACATTTAATAAATTATATAATTAATCTTATATATATTATATAATTGTATATCTTTTCATATATTTTATAAAATAAATATTATTTCTAAAATTTGTTTGTCAAATTAAATTACTGTCAACTGTTTTGCGTTTCAATAATTATATATATACATAAGGGCTAGTTTACAACCCACCGTCACGACCCCCCACTTAATTTATGGATGAACAGATGGAGAATCGAACCTGAGACCGTGTGTCTATCTACACTATCATCAATTCGTTCAAACCATCTAGATTACCCACAAATAGGTCATATCAAAATATTAAAGTTAGGAAAAAAAAGATAAATATTAAAAATATGTATTTTAATACATTATTTTAAAGGATCGAAACATAAAAATGAAATTACAACAAAATTTATAATATTTTACATAAAAGTCAAATAAATCTTTGAATATTTTATTAGTAGAAATTTTATTATAGTTTAATTTTGAGGTGTTGTTATTTGTGTTGGTGTAATAATTTGTTCATTAGTAATTTTTTTTGGTTTTGTTTTACACTCGTCAAACACAATTATAAATATATTAATTATAAAGAACATTTATAAATAAATACTCATATTTTTGTATAACTTATACTCAATATATAATTTATATAAGTTTATTTACAGTTGTATTATTAAATTTAATTAACGTCTTGACTCCTTAGAATGAGTTTCTGGCTATGACTCTGGTTAAGGGGACACATCTTTATGTATAACTATAATTTTTCTTTTGTAATATATTTTTTTTTAAATTCTTATGAATGTTGTATATTTCCTTCGAGTTATTGTCCTATGCCCAGGGGTGGATCCAACCCCTTTGAGGGTAGGTCTACCCTTAGATTTAAAAATAATAATGATAATAATATATAAGTCCACAAAAAATTGCTATTAATATATATATATCTAACCTTACTCTCAGATTTTTTTTTGAAAATGAGAACTATTATATATATATATCAAGGCCCACAAAAAACTTGCTATTGATATATATATATTCAAAGTCCACATCATATTAAAAGTTTAAAACTCTCTCCACTCTTCTTTTTCACGCCTCCAATTGCTTTTTATGATTTTATTCCTAAAATTCTTTACTCTCTCATTCCTTCTTTCTTATGCTATTCGTGTTAGACTTTTTACATTATGGTCCTACACTTTTAATATAATTTCATTAAGGTCCTACACTTTTATGCTGATGTGGACTGATGTGGATTTTAATGTAAAAGTTGTGTCTCTTCCNAAGGACCAGATTTTGAATATATATATATATATATATAATTAATTATATAATTAATTATATATATATTATTTAATTGTACAAAGAACAAAATGAAGAAAGTTTGTATATCTTGTCATATATTTTATAAAATAAA